CGTGGGGGCCCTGGGGTGCGTGCGGGCTGTCTGCACAGGCAGCGACGGGACAGGAGGAGGAAGGGGCGTCGAGGTGGTGGTGGCAGAGGGAGTGGCCGCAGTGGAGGGTGGTCGGAGCGCGCTGGGTGTCGTGGCAGACGGGGCAGCGGAGGAGGGGAGCGAGGGCTAGTGGGTCTGCCATTGGCGAAGAGAGACGAAGTTGCAGGGTATTTGAGGCGGGGGTAGCATGGCAATCGGACAGCGCTCGATGACGGGCAGAGATCTCGAAAGCACAAAGTCTGGATCTCTCCCCAGGCACGTGCTCCCCGATCGTCATTCCTCTCCCATGGACCACCGTCTCCTCCTCCCCCCGCACGCTCTTCCCCCCGCGCATTTCGCCCCCAGCCAGGACCAGATCGAGATCACCGGCTACCAGCTCTACGCAGTCGAGAAGTGGATCGTCGAGCGCAAGAACATCCCCATCCTCGTTGTCTACACCGGCGACCCGGCTCACAGGGTTTCCCTCACTGCCCTCACTCCCGACCCGCCAACCGCCTGGGATGCTGCCATCACGCTCCTCCGCGCAGACGGTGCAAAGCCAAAGAAAACCCCCCACGGCGTACTCATGGTCACCTCCCTCGCCCACTTCCGCTCCGACTACACCATCGTACACATCCCCGACGGAAACTTCCTCCCCGTCAGGGACCAGCTCTATGCGAATATAAACCTCCTCCGCATGGGCTGCAGCGGCCGTACCGCCCTCACCCTCGAAGACCCCAGTGACACGACAAAGGACCGCTTCATCTCTACCTACCACCTCCCCGAGACCACGACCACCGTCTCCCACTCACTCACCTCCCTTGATCATCTCCCGCTCACCCAAGCACAGTCGCCGTCAGCATCCCCGCGTCCAAAGCCCAATAGCCCCCAAATAGGCCTCGGCCGGCCCTCCATCACCGCCATAGCCCGCTCCGAACGCCAGCCAAACCACAGCACATCCTCTCTCCCAACTCGCAAGGAGAAAGAAAAGCCTTTCCATGGAAAGACAAAGGAACGCGCAACCTTTGTCGCCACTGTCCTCGAGCTCGTCAAGCTCGTCCAAGCCGGCCTTGCTCTTTTTGGCCTCTATGGCTGCAACGACTCCCCGAACTCTGTCCCAGCAAACCTCGTCCTCGATGGGCTCTTGTGCGACGACACGGTCGAAGGTATTCGGCGCTGGATCGCGACTATTGGCGGACCGTGTGTCGGCCTCGAGGTGCGCGTCCTCTCGCCTCTCATTCAATATCCTACTGACTTCCATCTAGCCTTCAGAACGACTAGCAGACCCCATGTTCGTCGCCGCCCTCCTCAGCCTCGTCCTCTCCATCCGCAACAAGCTCGCCCACCTCGCTTGCTCATCTGTGTGTACCATGCCTTCCTCTACCTCAATTAAATACCTCTCACATACACCTTCCACCAGCTCCCCCGCGACCCCTTCCTCAATCCACACGCCTTCTCAATCGCCCTCGGCTCCTACGTCCAAACCACCGCCCCTACCCCGGCCGTAACCCCCAGTCCCCCCTCCTCACACGCCACGAGCCCCCCCTTCTTCATGCCCCACACCGCCTTTGGCACACACCACCTCGCCATCGCTCACCTCGCAGGCATCCCCACGCCACCCAGCTACACGCCCTCGCCCTTCATACCCGCCGCCCCGCCCCCTGCGAACCTCCTCTCGGCTGCAGCTGCGAGTGCTGCCGCGCTCGCCTCGGGAACGAGAACTCCTACCCACGAACAGCAGAGGAGTGGTGTGGTGCTCACGAGAGAGCTGGTAGAGAGCATCGGCGCAGCACACGACGCAAAGGTCAAGTCGGAGAGCAGGAAGGTGCGCAAGGCGATCAAGAACCGGCTTGCCCCTGGTGCGGGCGTCGACTCGGACGGGGCGACGGCGGACGGCGGCAGAGCGTTGCAGACGGCTATCGCGAGCGCACGAGTGGCGCTGGTGGCGAACGACGCAAAACGCTCTCCATCAGCCTGAGTGGGGCGGAGAGCGCAGGTGGTGCAGGCGAGCGCTCGCCTGTTGGCTCTGGGGGCCCTGCGAGCGGTATCGGCTCGAGTGGCGGGCAGATCCTGAGTGGCATCGGGAGTCTGGCGAGCGGGCTGGGTGGGCTCGTCGTTGGTGGCCCTGGGGGCGGAGGTGCGGGTGTAGGAGGGGACGCGAGCTGCGTTTTAGCGCCGACCGTTGACTTGCCGGGTTTTGTGTCCTTCGCTCTTGGCTCTGGGTCGGGCGCAGGCGCGGGTGGGAATACGGGTGCAAGTGCAGGAGGGAGCGCCGCGCGCAGGGAGAAGAAGCAGCGCAAGAGCGTCGAGCGCGAGCGGCGGCGCGAGAGCGTGGACACTGGGATCGGGATTGGGTATGCGTACGCCCATGCGCGGGAACGCGAACGCGAGAGAGACCGCGAAGGCCGAGACGCGGTCGGTGCGGTCGGTGCCAGCGTCAAAGCACTCTGGGGCGGGCGCGTCGCCGACGTCGTCCGCATGCGCGAAGGCTCGTTCGACGACCTCAGTCCCCACTCCTCCCACCCGCACATACATGGCAGCCTAGGCCATAGAGAGAGGTGGAAGCGCTCGGGCGGGGTACCCCTCGCCGTGGCGAGCGACGGAGACGGAGACGAGTCCTATCGCGAGGGCGGCCGGCATGGGAAGAACTTGAAGTACGACGGACGCTCGACGGAGGACGAGAGCGATACGATTGGCGGAGGAGGGGGAGGGCATGCGGGAGGTAGCAGCGTGCAGTCTTTCGGAGGCGCGTGGGGCGGGCGGGTCAAGGGCAAGTTGGGGTCTTGGGCTGGGTAAGTCTTCGAATTTATTCTTTCTCTTGCGTTGAACGCACGTAATCCAGTGGTTGTTTATTCTGGTGTTTTTTTTTTTTTTTTTTTTGATATTTAGGTTGGGCCGACGAAAACACCAATCCGTCGACCTCAGCGCGACATCCTCCGTCGGCTCCTCTCTGAAACTTCCTCTTCACCCTCTCAACCCTCTCACCTCGTCGTCGTCGAAGGATGCCCCTCCGCCTCTGCCCAAGCTCTCCATCGGGCCGAACACCACCACCAATGCGGATATTAGTCGGAGTCCGAGTGTCAACACGAACCCGTACGCCGCACTTGGAGTTGGCGGAAGTAGGAGCAGGCGCCCGCCTGCGACGCGCCAGTCGACGGGCACGGGTGCGGTGGCTGCGGGTGCGGGCGTGGGATCGCGACCGCAGTCGCCCATGGTGTTCTCTGCGTGCGTGTTTTCCTTATCTCTAACGCTCGATAGGTGCGACGATAACTCACATTTACTGGTTACTCTATGTCTGACAGCGAAGCCGACCGCGAGCTGGAGGACGACGACCTGCTGAGCAGCGGACAGGTGTCGCCGTTGAGCGACTACCGCCCCAACCCGTTCAACTTCAACCTCGGAAGCCGCACGCGCCTCGGCGTAGGTGGTGCTCACCCTGGCGCTCCTTCCGGGTCCGCAGGAGGAGGAGGAGGAGGGGGGTCGTCGACGCACCTGGACGAACGCACGCTCGCAAGGCTCCTCGCACAGAAACGCCCCGGTGGGACGCAGCGCTTCGTACAGGGCACGCGCGTGTCGAGCTGGGCGGACCCAGTCAGTGCGCGCGAGGGCGAGCTGGACGGGGACGAGGAGGGCGACGGGGCATCCGGCACGGGGCTCAGGAACAGGCCGCAGTCACGCTCGCGAGAGAGGTACGCGGACGAGGAGGGCGAGGACGAGAGCGATATCAGTGAGTTGAGGGTTGGTGGTGGTGGGATGGGTGCAGGTGTGAAGAGGAAGGAGAAGGCGCGCTTCCATAGTCTGCTGAGCGTCGTCGATGGTGAAGGCGTGCTTGCAGAGGAGCTCATGGAGAGCTCGGCGGATGATAGTGATGATGAAGCCGAGGAGGAGGTCAAGGATGATCAGCACTTGAGGAGGCAGAGAGGTATGGGGTTTGATATGAAGCGGTATGTCAGGTTTGAATGGCCTGCAGTTCAAAGTCTCATTTTTGTTTTCTCCATTTTTTAAGACGGAGGAGTTTCCACGACCTTGGTACATTCCACGGTATCGAGGTCCTCTCCCCGGAACGAATGCGCATCGATGTCGACATCTGCGGGCAGGTGCTCACCCTCCTTCGGCGCGAGGACCACGTCCGCAACGTCATAAAATGCGTCCAGCTCGTCGCGCACGCGCTCGAGCAGTCCAACGCGTCCATGCGTGAGCACTACGAGTCGCACCTCTCCGCGCTCGTCGACATCGACCTGCGCTCGCGCGTCCTCGCCGAGATCGATATCGAGAACGCTACCTCGGACCGCATCTCCCAGGCCACCAACATGCTCCGGTACGAGGCGGAGCAGTTCAACGTGCGCGACCTCTGGCAGGCTGCAAGCCCGTCGCGGCAGAAGGTCTTCGCACTGCGCGAGAAGGTGTTCGGTACGGGCGGGAGGAGGTTGCCTACTGGCGTGCATGGTGCACATGATACGTTCAACCGCCTGCAGTGGACGCTCGATGGGCAGAAACGGCTCGTGGACCACCTCGGGCGCACGGAGAGTGAGGCGGAGGAAGAGCGCCGTATTGATCCCCATAGGCTGTTTATTGGCGGCCCGCCGGAGACGGAGGACGAGGAGGATGTGGTAGAGCATCCGGGCATGAAGCCGATGTGGCTGTTGAGGTTCTTTACTAGCTGGGGTGCGCGATGGAGCGCGGCTGCAAGTACACCAGCATCGACTTCTGCGCCGGCGATGAGCAAGGAGCGTAAAGTCGGGTCGACGTCACCTTCGCCTCCTGGAGAACCTGACGCGTCGAGCCCTGTTTCCGACGATGAGAAACAGGCCTCTGTCAAAAACGGCGCAGGTGGATCTGTCTCGAACTAACCCTAACGCCAATATTCCCTTGCATTAATTTTTTCACCTTGCCTCACTCCTGTAGACCTTACTCACGAGCTTCACGAATCCACAACACAAGCATGTATAGTACGATACCCCATCCATTACAACAGAGCAAACGACTATCTAAAGCAGAATACATACCTTAAAATAAATATACTACCGACTCATTAGGCTGCTGAATGTAGAGGGCGGTGCGTCGATGGACGCCAATTTTCGAGATATTAACGCGTAACGCTGATTAATTACTTGCGAACAACCTTGCCCTGCGTTTTGCGCAAGGTGCGCTTGCGTTCCTTCTCGAGCTCCTGTAAAGAGAAGTGAAAAGGTCAGAGAAGAAAGAAAAGGGTTGGCTGGTTTCCTACCTTCTTCTGGTCCGCGGCACTGAGCTTGGAGAGACGCTCCTCCATGGCCTTACGCTTAGCGGCAGTCTTGGCTTCCAGAGCCTGGGCAATGAAAAACATCAGCCATCCTGCACCTGATCGCCGTGATTTTTGAAAGAGCCGACGCACCTCCTCCTTCTTCTCCTTCTCTGCCTCCTCTTTAATCTCTTTGTCGATGTCCTCCCTGTATCTTCTGAGCTTGGACTTGGTCTCCGGACGAAGACTGATCTTGTTTAGGAGGTCGATCAGTTGGAAGACGGCAGCGACGAGAGGGGCGCTGTCCTCGGGGTTGGATGGTGGGGTAATGCTGAGGATGACGTGCTTCTCGCGCTCTTCGACAGGGATGGGGAGTTCGGGGCGGTCTCGTGGTTGGTCAGTAATCTGGATTGCGCATGAGTGAAGTGAGATAAAGGAAAGTTTAGGGAGGACGAACCGAGAGAGAGCGGAAGAAAGGCTGTATCTTTGGGTCTCGGAAGACCTGAGCCAGGGAGAACTTGTCATGCTGCTTGAGAACGTTTTCCGTGACATCGGCATATTCTGGCAAGGGAGATAAGAACCCAAGCTAGAAGTGGAAGTGGAGGTACGCATACCAGACATGACCAGGAGGGTAGGAGGGAGGGCAGGGTTTTCGGTGGTCTTCGTGAAAGTCTAGATAGGATTGAGTACGTAAACTACGTCAGACATAGGAGATAAGGCGTACCAAATCCCAACGATTCTCCTTAACGGACAGGAGCTCGTCCTTGGCTATAATCGCGAACACAAAGTTATCTGAAAGAGCACCAGGAGCAAGCTTGAAGTCAAGCTGAATGTCGTCAGCAGGGCGGTAATGAAGGTCGACGAGAGTCCTGCCGGTCTGGAAGAGCCATTGGAAGAAATCATGACGTGGCCGGAGGGTGAAGATGGTGTGGAGGGACGCGACGTTGCGTCTACCCGTCGAGAAACCAAAGAAATCGCTATAGCCATCGCTCGTCAGGCCTCCCTTGTATTGTGGTTTGGAGAACTGCTGTTCGTATAGAGGAAGATGCTTCGCGAACCTGCAGGAAAACACACAATTAGGACCGTGTCACACGCGTGAGAGTGGGGTGGAAGAACGTGCCATTTCTTCGCCTTGTTGGCATTTACAGTCATGCCCCAGTACGCCCACAGAAGATAAAATAGAATGCCGGCCGCGAGGTAGGCCTCGGTCTTGAGCACTGTCAAGTAGGGTTGGTGAGTCGCCTTGAGGACGGGCAAAAGCACATACGAGCTGGCCTGAAGACGATGGCCTTCCACCTGAGCTGCCAGCCGTCGTAGTGGTCTGGGGTGACGACTGGGGGCGGGGTGATGAGGGTCACGAACTTTGCAATGGGATTGGAGGCCATTGCGAATCGGAATGCGGAGAGCGTGAACCAACCACAGAAGAGAAGCCGCCACTTTCGGACCGGCAAACCCCGAGTCCGATGATCATCCGCCCCGCTTTGGGAATTCGCCGTCCGCGGTAAACCTGGGATACCCCCCAAGTACTGGTAGTCCTACTCCTGCCTTCAATGCCTCACCGCCATGTCTGCCGACTTTGACGCCCACGCCCTTCTCGAGATCGACCCCGTCAGTCTGCTTCTCACTTTGCTGTGCCCCTAGGCAATGTTGACACGGCTCAGATACCTCCCACAGACTTTGGCGCCTTCGTCACGGAGGTCCTCGCCCAGCACCAGCAATCCGGCGACGGAGGACAGAAGATAGACCAGAAGGTCCTCCGCCAATGCATTGACCTCGCACCTTCATTCCTCCTCACGGATACCGCCATGACCCCTGCGTCTGGTGCCGACACCTGGTTCACGGGCCTTGGCCGGCTGGTGGACCTCGTCGTCATCCTACACAAGCGCGGCGAGCTCGAACTCGAGACTGTCAACTCTGCCTCACGAGCCTGCTCAGAATGCTGGACCATTGCTGGGACTTGGAGACAACTCGAGGAATGCAGAGTCAGCGTGCGCAACATCGGCTCGCGCCTCAAAACGATACTGGATCCTAATGAGAGGACCTATCAAGGTGCGCCTCCTCTCCGCTGTCCTTCGTCACTTTCCAACGTGCTTTCACTCTAGGTCAACGCGTTTATGCCCCGTGATACCTTATATCATGGACTCTTCTTGTTCTCATGGACTCTTCTTGCATCGTATCGCCTCTGTACCAACGTTTGTATAATTTGTGTACCACCAACTTATGTACCTTCCCTCTCGAAGACCTACGCGTAATCTAACTCAGGCTTGTGAACATCCATGGAAATCTTTATTGCAATGCCAATTCAATTCAACGTAGAACTACAAATGTGTCAGATTTATTCAGGGAATCAGAGGGCTGCCATGTTCGTCACAGGCCAGAAGCTGTAAATGAGATAAGATTGTCAGTGATCGTCGCAAGACGAAATTGAAAACACGTACTAAGCATCAGCATTGCGTTTGTACCCGTATTTCCCGATGAAAGCGTCTAGTTCTTTGGGACCGCGAGAACCATAAGGGTATGACACGGGTCTTGGTCTAGGACCCAACTGTCCGTCGATCCAATGCAAGATAGGGGTGAAAATCTAAGGGAATATCGGTTCAGATATGCTCGTAGGCAAAACGAAGAATCGAATCACCTTCCAGGCTACATCCAACTCATCGTTACGGACGAAATTCGAGTGGTCACCGCGGAGAGCGTCGAGAATAAGTGCCTCGTACGCCTCAGGAATCTTCGCCTCCAGGAAACGCCTCTTGTAAGTGAGGTCCATCTCAGTAGGGATCGCCCGCGTATACAGACCGGGCGTCTTTGAGTTCAATTTCAGGTAGACGGCCTCAGAAGGTTGGATGCGGATGACGAGTTCGTTGCGAGCAATATCCTTGAAGATACCCTGAGTAACATCTTTGAACTGGATGCGGACTTCCACTTTGCTCTCGTTGAGGGCTATTGCATTAGGGAATCGGATGAATAACCCTTCAATTTCCGGTTTAGAAGAAGTAACTCCGAACCTTTTCCAGCCTTCAAGATGAAGGGGACGCCCTCCCATCTGGGGTTGTGGATCCACAGGGTGGTCGCAGCATACGTAGGGCAGACCGAGTTTGGTGGGACGGTGCTGTCATCGAGATAACCTGGCTTTCCATTCGCGGAAACATACTGGCCCAAAAGCGTATCGCTTTGTTCAATGGGAGGAATCGAACGCAGAACTTTGACCTAGATTTTTCGCAAAAACACTGATTGATCAGTAAGCTCGCTGACAGAGGTCTATCAGCGCACCTTCTCATCTCGGATATCTTCAGCAGCAAAAGAGACAGGCCGCTCCATTGTCAAGATACTCAGCACTTGCAGAAGATCTAAAAATGATTTTGAGTCTGACAAACATTGAGTCTAAAACCAACTACCACTTACGGTTCTGGAGAACGTCACGGATGATACCGAACTCATCGAAATACCCACCCCGGCCCTCGGTACCAAATGGCTCCTTGAAGGTGATTTGGACGTTACTGATAGAGTTCTTGTCCCATGCTGCGCCCAATGCGATGTTGGCGAAACGAAGAACGAGAAGATTCTTCACCATCTCCTTCCCGAGGTAGTGATCAATACGGAAAGTCTCTTCTTCTGTCCAGTACTGCTTGACGGAAGCGAGCAACTCGCGGGCAGACGCGAGGTCTTTACCGAACGGCTTTTCGATGATAATGCGGTTGACGCCTGCCTTGGCATTATAGCAGTGCTCCTTGATGTTTTTGGCGACGGGGATGAAGACGGTGGGAGGGAGAGCGAGGTAGAAGATGCGGTTGCGCTCCTTCGACTGATAGGAAGACTCGATCTCCTCGATGTGTTTTCTGAGGCCATCGAAGGCAGCACCATCCTCGTAGTCACCCGAGACGTACGAAAGAATCTGCTTGAACGACTCGACAGAATTCGCGATCTCAGGCTCCTCGGTGTTCTTGATGTAAGATGTGGCGCGCTTGTCAAATTCGGCCTTGTCCATCTTGGTCCGTGCGTAACCGACGATTTTGCAGTCTCGGGGGAGGAAGCCTTGCCGATAAAGGGCAAAGAGCGCGGGGAGAGTCTGACGCAAGCGATTAGCAAGCCGTTCGGAGACAGCGACGCGATGCATACCTTTTTCTTCGCCAGGTCGCCAGAAGCACCCAGAACTGAACACGGCGTCAACGGAGATGCAGATTAGATGCAGGAGATTGTACGTGCCTACGATGATGGTGTTGTTCTTGAGCTCCTCATGAGATGTTTCCATGGACGGGATAGTGCCGGAGAGGGAGCGTTCGCGAGGCATGGTGGATATCTGTGGAGGAGAGGTGGTAGTACGAAAACAAGCGGTTATGCGATGAATAAAAGAGGTGCAGGGTTGGGGAGAGGACATACCCGGGTAAAGTGCGCAGAG